TTCATGAACTTGAACTGAACTTGAACTAAACCAAAACTTTGAGTTCAGGTTCAGTTCAAGTTCATAAATTTAAAGTTCAGTTTAGGTTCAGATTTAAAGATCTGCAAAATTTAAAGTTCAGTTCAGGTTCAATTGAACTTGAATTTGAATCTAAATTAAACTAAACTAAACTTCAGAACACTAGTATGCAAAAAATAGGTTTATAAGTAAAATTTTGAGTTATTGATAATTTTTTAAAAAAAAACACAAGAAATGTAATTTTGATATTATATCTGATCTTTTTATCTAATTGGCTAGATTTTGAAAAATTACATGTCTGCTACTTTTTGCTGGATAGCTAGAGTATTTTATACCTAGCAGGAGGACTTCTTATTTTTCAGAAAAATATTGAATTTTTATATAGCAATCAACTAATCAGAAACTATATTGTTAGCATATAATATAAACAGATAGATAATTATTGAACTACGCAGCCAATTAACAGGCATAACTTGTATATTATTATTTTTCTATAGTTTAACTTCAAAGTAAAATAAATCACATTTTAGAAAAATAAAACTCTTCACTAAGCTTATACTATAATAACAATTTACAAGTATAAAAACTTTATTAAAAAAGTTTTTGATAAGAAGCTATATGTTCTTTATTAATATTCTTAATACTTTTATATAATTAACAAACCTATACTATTGTATATATAAAACAACTTTTATTGAATTAAATATCTTCTAAAGAATATACAACTTTCAAAAATAGTTTGTAAAGTTATAATAAAATCAACATATTAATCATTTAAATAATAATAATAATAATAAAAAAAGAAAAACTAATATTGAACTTTATGAATTAAACAGTACAACATATTTTTATTACCTCCTACTATACGATAGACAGTACTTCAACTCAATAAATCTACCTTTTATTGCGTGATTCAATATGATTCAAATTGAGTTTCTTAACAAGACGTTCGCTAGGTTGGTTTATTTTTTTTAAGTTTGCTAATACCCGGGTTTATACTACCATCCTATATAAATACTTGTGTAACGTCGATCCCAGAAATCATCGGAATCGAATGTCCCCCTGCTGGTATACAAAGCCCCTAGCTGTCCCACAAAATTTTTTCCACCCCTGTAATTTTGACCAATCGAATTTTAAGATCAGGTGTAACGTAAAAATTGAAATGGATCACTTATTTTTTAACTATAACCCTAACTATAACGCGGTTTTCTTAGATTTAATTTAAATTTACACGCGCTTTTTTACTTAGAAAACAAATTTGTTTTGACTATCACGTTACACCTGATCTTCAGGGGTGGAAAAAATTTTGTGGGACAGCTACCTAAAATGCTGAAATACCCCCGCATCCTTAATAAGAACATTCAAATACATTATATTGCCAGCTACCTGTATCCATGCCAAATTGGTTAGTTTTTGGTCTACATGTTGCATCGATAAGACTTACCCCATCTAACGTTTCTCTCCAAAGCTTCATATAATCATCATCTTTTTTAGTTTTACTACAGTTGATGCGCGAGGATTCAACGTAACCAAGCTCGAAAACCTTTTCTTCAGCCATTATTAGCATCATAACGTCGGGCTTCTTACCCATTCAACACCTATATTTCTTTGAGCCTTACTTGCAAGACTTTGACGTTCTGCTCTAAAATTAGTAAAGAAAAACGTTTAATAATCTTTTCTATTTTGCAATAAAATTTTACAAATCAACTCTTACGTGCTTAAGCAGAACATAGTCATTCGGAAGGTTTTTCAAACTTGCCCGAAGTAATGGAACTATAACATCTGCGGGATGTACTAGTCGCAAATGCTGGGTTACACCAGATCTCTCCGCTGGTTAAAATTTACATAAATTACGTTGTTAAAAATGTCTTAAAAATGTATTTTAAAAATAAAAACTGAAATTACTTACAGTGCGTTTAAAATCCGTTTTGCTGTTTTCGATAATTCAAATTCATTCTCTTTCCATAAATTATTATGAATAATATCTCCCATATCTCTTGGAACATTTAAATTACGGAAATTTTCTACGAACTCGCTACACTTAGATATGACGGAATTGGGAAGAACGCATTTCATACTTTCACGAGGTTCCTAATGCAAATATAAATGTAAGTTTGATTTAATTAAGCCAAAATACCAGCTATTATTACCATAAATACACGCTTCTGTCTTTTTCCCAACTCTTGTACTATTTTCGATTCGTATGTTAGTACCATGCTTGCTTCCGGGTCTCTCCAAGTATATTCCGATGTATCAATATTATTTAGGTGTGTTCTAAGAGAACCATAAAGGCTCACATCTTTTTCTCGCACAGGGTTCTAATATATATGACATATTTTAGCGAAGCTTACTTAGCCAAGGCTAGAGATGGGCACGCACGGGATCACGCGCGTGATGCGCGGGATTTTTTTAGATCCCGCGCGGGATTTTTAATATGATCCCAAAATAAAATTATCTGGCCGGCACTACCATATCATCTGGCAGCATTAACATAATATCTGGCCTGCATTAACATAATTAGTAATTGAGGACCGGGTAAAATCGCCACCCAAAAAAGTTTCGAAAATCAAAGCGACAAATATGTAACTTGAACAAAAAATACAAATGAAAAAAATTTATAGACTTACAAAATAATAACGATAAAGCAATTTTGTTTATTTCGAATAATTTCGAATAAATTCAATTTGTTTTGTCTCTCATTTTCGGGATATACTATGAAGAACATAAACCCTTCTGCTATCGAGCACTACGCAGACTTTGCTGAGCATCGATTGGTTACTACCTATGCCTCTTTACTCTTTTCTCTTTTTAACATTCCACAAATACATAAACATTGGTTGTCGTCCCGACAGGCTATACTTGACTAAGTGACCGTTGATATTCCTTATTTAAACATGAATTTGTATCACATTTGGCTGTCGTCCCATCATTTGATCATGAGTTCGTACCACATTGGCTGTCGTCCCGACAGGCCAAAACTAACAGACTTAACAAGTTACAAAATCGCTGTGTCCGGGGATAGGGGTTGATATAACCAGAACGAAAGTCGGATTCGCAGAAAAGACAAAAGTAATTCTGAACGATGATTACTCACTTACTAATATACTACGAAACAATTACCTCATAATTACTCAATAATCTCGCAATTAATCAATTACTCATAATAACCATACTCATTTACATAGATATATTAACGTACTAATCATACGATTACCTCATACTTACGTTCGATCGATCGATCGAACATGTAACCGTAACCGGGCCTATCACATGTTCGATCGGATAGTCGATGATTCGAGACAAAAGCTGCCTCGATACTTACGTATCGAGCAGCTATTATACGTAATATTTGTTACAGCCAGAAAGTACAGTTAACTTTTTCTATAACGAACTGAAGATTCTGGAAGAAAAGAAAGTTCGTTATTTAAAATTACTATGTTTTCTTAAGAACCCATGCCACTTTTTATATTATATCAGAGTTTGTTATAGGAAGGTTCGTTATACCCAGAGTCGACTGTATTATGATTACGGTTTTTTTAAGTATTTGGAATATTCCATTGCCTTTAAAAATGATTATAATCCACTTCCAATTTATGCAATGGCTCAAAGTTTTTATTAATACTATCGAGCCATTTGTTACTATTTGGATCATTATGTTTTCTTCAACAATTTTTTTTGTTGCGTTCTTGATTCAAAATTATAAAAACCTTTTGCGCAAATAAATAATCAGAGTAAGTTTCCGAAGAGCATTAAAAATAAAATCTACAAAGTTTTCCGGTGTTATTGCATTTCTTATTAGTTTTTATAATTTTATTTCGATTTCATTCTTTTTTTTTTAGTGGAAATTTGGTTACGGCAATCGATGTATATTGTGCTTATTGAATTTTATACTTTTAAAAGAATCACTTGGTTTGTTTGAGATTGCAAAGATCGCTTTTCATTTTGAAGAATCGAAAAAAAAAATCATTTACTAAATCAATTAATATTTTATAAATATTATCATGATCCTAATCATGATGAATTGACAATATCACATGATTTTCGAAACTTTTTTGGATGACGATTTTACCCCGGTCGCTAAACCTTAAAAATTTTTCTATTTGTCACTCGATCACCCGGTATACTAAACAATACAACAAATTAGTGTTCCGATCCTAAATCCGACCATCTGGATTAATCCTTAAATCCAAATAAATTTAGATATTCAGATCAGAGATTTTTACTCGGATTGGTCAAAGAACTTAAATAACGAACATAAGGATGTGCTCAAAACTTACTTTAGATCTAATCTGATACGGATTCAATCCGGATTTAATAGAATCCGGATGGCCTGTCAAAGATAGGATCGGAACACTACAACAAATACAACTACGGAAACACTATATGGGATTTTGCCTCACTGCTCATGTGGTCTACAGCCAGTTCCTAGTATCGATTCTCTCACACCTATTCTCTAACCTTTTTTCTTTGATATTCGAGCTGTTCAGTTGGGCTACCAAAGTACCTAACCTGATATCCGGGCGGTTAACCTGGGCTATTGACACTCCTATCCCCTTAACCCATAATGCTCCCTTTCCCAGTGGTGGGTGGGTGGGCACTAATGATAAAGCTAGACTTCTTGTTAAGCTAGCAGCAAGGACAAAAGAGAGAGACCCAAATTCCATTACTTCCCCTTATATAACTTTCTTATGACCTCATACTTATCTCTACTCGATCAATCAAATGATATTCATTACTAATACATCATACTTACTATTACTCAATACATCATATTTATTATCGCTCAATATATCATATTTATAAAACTGATCTACAAATCGTCACCTGGGTTGTGATCTCATGACAAATGAATGGCCCATGACTTTGTTCACAGTATTTTATTTGTCACTTGATCACCCAGTATACTAAAACAATACAACAAATACAACTATAAAAATACTATATAGGATCATCAAGAGAATTGAATTGCATACTCTTTTTCCTTACTTACAATATGAATATAGATTTAAGTTTCTATTTAGGCAATTACAAATTAACTCTTAAAATTCTATTCTAATTAATGCTCTATTCTTCATCATCTTCACCATTTTCAAGTACAACATAACTGTTTTAGAATCCTAACTATCAATTGTTTCTTATCTAGATCAAAGACATTTCCCTATCCATAGTTGTCATTGTATCTTTTATTCTTAGACTATGAGATGAAAACCAATTCTGTAATCCCATATAACTTATTATTTGTTTAATTATTGATAAACTGCTAATACTAATATTTCTTCATCTCTCTTCATCAAAAATAAAGATATATTATCCATTATTATTATTATTATTTTTTTTTTTTTTTTTTTTTTTTTTTTATTTTACTAAGGCCGATGTTACGGGGCTACTGTTTTTATTTGTGTTTTTAGTTAATGTATTACATATAACTTGTACAAGGTGAGTGTGCAACTAGCTACATGTACAACTTTTGGTTACCTAATTTAAATAGTCCGCCCGAAGGTTCTACACTAGCTGTCATACCTGTAATCTGCTAGAAGATTACTTATTTAAACACTCTGATCCTAATACTACGCCCAGGCAAGTAACACCTGGTTCCCGTACAACTAAGTGCTCTTTAATCCAACATTTAGCCTCCTTTTTTCTACATCTGTCAGGCCGTTACACATTTCAGAGTACGTCACCTGACTGTAAGGTTAAGAGTACCTCCCTAATCCTTCTATATCCTATATATTTCCGAATTAGGTTTAGAGAATCTGTCTGCTATGGTCAAGACCAACACTAGCGGTCAGGGCTAATCATTAAACCGCACAATTCCTGGTTCCTCTGCCTTTACAAGGTTCGTTTCAATCCCTATACCTACATCAACCTTTCTTCCGGTCCTTATACCGATCTCTCCCAAACTTCCAATCCAGTTAGCTCGGATAGGTTGGTATACCTAGGCTTTAGGTGCCCTATAGTTCTCTTCCTTTGGTTTCTAATTCTATAATATAGAACCTTTTCCTCTGATATGATTCTGGCGGCCAGGTTGGTGAACCCCTCTTGCCCCAAGGTTATTGCATCTAGTTCTTCGGTCTCCGGTTTCTGAGATTCTGGTTTCTGCTGTATCATCGAAGATCTTCACTACCTCCTTGCTCAGGACTTGCCAAACAGGTTTCAATTATTCTGGTTCCTTGGCTTTATCTGTGTAATATCACACAACTTCGCCCGAAAGTTCCCATTCAAGATGGTGGTACCAAGACTACAGGTGATATACCCAACCGATCATTGAATAATTGTTACCGAAACAAATCTTAATTTTCAAAATCGTCGCCAGTGGGATTTGAACCCTAGACCTGCCATTTGGAGGTGTGACAACTTGCCAACTGCACTATATCACCACACCTCTTATTATCCATTATATATAGTTACATTTTCAAATATTTTTTCAACAATCTCATTAGGCAAAACCTACTTTCTGATAGCTTAATTGGCACAAATCTTCTATTTACAAAAGAGTTATTTTTTGCTTTTCTCATCCTAATTTACAACAACTCTAATTTTTTTTATATTTTTTAACTTTAATTTATATAACTCCTTAGGCCTACATATAGTACAAAATTAATTGCCATTAGTGCTAAATTTTTGCATCAAATTACTGGATCTACTTTCTCAGATAGATAGTCATAATACCACCTCAATATCAAAGATAATAAGTTCTATGATCATCTTGCAATATGCTTTTAAGCTATTTCTAATCTTATATCTCTAATCACTTCTCTAATTCTAAAATCCTTTACTGAATTACCAAACCTCCTCACCTTATATATTCGATTTATTGCTTTCAGAAACTTTTGTATCTGTATCAATATGCCTGCTAACTTTAACTAACAAAAAAATATCTTAATAATACCTATACTCACCAGACATGCTATTCTCTCAAACTAGTTACAAAAGCCCTCAAAAAGCTATCATGCTCTTCAATTTTTTCTTATAGTCCCTACTAATTGTTTTATATGCTAACATATTTGCCTGTTTTAACAAAACTTCTATCATCTTATTTTCATTACCACAGCTTTCAAGCCAGATTCTTGCATAGTTTTCTCTGACTTAATGAATCTGGAACAATGGTCTCTGCTGCTGGGAGTAATTTTATTACTTTCTTTAGAGCTTCAAGAAAAATTGGCCACTCTGAAGCTAAGACCTATGCTGGTAGAATCAACAAAACTAAAGCTTTGCACTCCTAACTATATACTAACATATGATAAATTAAGCTGAAAAATAGGCAAACATAGTTTTCTTTTGCTACTCAATCTTGGATAAAACAGTCAACTGCTTCAGAATTAAAACAAAAAAAATAACTATTGAATTGCTTTTTCTTTGCATTCAAGTAGTTCACAAACTGATCTATTGACACCTATTTCTATTTCACTTCCAACTTTATAAAAACTCAATTATCCAACTTCTAATTTTTAGAATCTCATATACTTGTTAAGTAATTTGTTAGATTCTCACCGTCTGGCACCTATCTAACTTTATATATCCAAATATTATTTTTTGCACAAAATTCTTATAGGAATCTTGTAATGGTCTTCTGCCATAAACGCTTTTCTTTACATATCACCATTTTCAATATTATCTGGCTATTTACAAAAAGCATACTCGTAAATATCTTAATAGATTTACAAAAGACTCCAATATTCTTAAAGCCACCAAACTTTCTAACTATGCTATTTCTATAGTATCGAACTAACTTAGCTAATTTTTTACTATCCTGTATTCTATATAAACTTCACATTAATTTATTATAAATATATCTATGAAGACCACCTTTAACAAAGTTAACTTTCATGTTAATTTTCTATTCTATTTTACCAGATTTCTCTCAACTATTTTACATTGTCTAATACCAGACCTATTAATCAAATATTCTTGTTCCATTTCCAATAGCCCGATTTGCAGTATTTATTATAGCATAAACCTCTATATACTTTATCTAAGCTAACAAAAATACTTGTGCAAAACTTTGAATTCTCTTTGTTAATAATGTTAACACTTTGCCGAAATCACTTGTAACTTCTTCACTAACTTTAACTCTATACAAACCTTCTTTATCTTCTTCTCTAGCACTTCAACTATTTCTTTCTCCGTATCTACTATTAATCTATAAATCTTCACTTTCTTCATTAGTTCTCAACTTCTCTTATCCAGTACTCTCGCAAAGCTATACTTTTCTAAATCAATCCTTATCACTTTCTCTCTTATTCATAA